TCATCACACAAGTGATAAACTCTTATTATCAGTTGATTGTTATCAGGGAGAAGATTATTTTCTTGCAACACTGATCATCATTATCATCATCTGATTTAGTAGTAAACAAGATAGAGTGAGACTTTGACATTATAATTAGAACAAGAAGACAGAAAGATGATTTGAGTAGGAGAGAGAAAAAAAGTTGTGATAAAGTTTTTGATGGAAAAATATTATTGGAGTCAAAATCGTTAAACGATGATAATGATGGAGAAATGAAAGATGAGGATGACAAATAAGAAGAAAAAAAAACAATCTATTGTGTTAATAACTAATTTGTTACTGGTCATCATCTGCTCTTCATTTCCCACACTTTTCATCCTCATCTTTTTTTCATTACTGTTATTTCAACGTCTTCATCATCAACTTTTTGATACTCTCATTGTGTCTGCGTGTCTCTGTGTGTGTATTTGTGTGTCTTTTAATTACATTTCAACAATTTACTGTCCTAATGTTAAGCCAGTTGACATTAATTGATTGCTCAAATTTGAGAGGCTCACAAATCAGATTTGATTAAAGTCCTCAGGAATTAGGAAGCAAATACTAGTTAATAGTAAATACTAAGGATAACCAAAAATTAAGACATAAAAATAGCCATTGATTGAGATGACATTGATTTGACACTAATATTTGATTTCCTTAATAGCTTATCATCATCTCGATTATCAACAGATTCAGATGAAAGAGTTTTCTTAATATGACCATTGGTCATCAAGCTATGTAATTTAAGGGAATGAATTATCCTCATTAGTAGTGATTACCACTTATACTTGTAAAAACTAAGGTACATGAATGAATAGTAGTGAGACTTAATCGATGATAATTATTATTTATAATATGCACAATTTGCAATTCCAATTGCATAATCCGCAAAGATTAAGATTAAGAATTTCTTAATACAAGACCAGACTTTGTTCAGTAGCTTTGGAACGAGAATAATTTTCCAGGAAACGAAATATCCAAAAAGGTTGCCTCATATATTTACAAAAGTCTAGAAAATAAAATGGAAACTTGCTCAGTCCAGTTTTCCTTTAGTCGGTCAAGTTTCAATCTTTTATAACGATAGGTTTGTTTTGACCAGTAGAAAATATTTCCAGTAGAATGTCTGATAAAATAATATTAGTAAGGCTCCCTGATGATGATGATGATGATGATAATTTGAATGAAGATGAAAATCGATAAAAAAAGTCGTGAGACAAAAAGATATTAATCTTATCATGGAAACTATTTTATCATATGATTAATGATGTTTTTATTTGCCTTTATCCTCAATTGTGAACTTTTGAAATTTACCAAGTTTAAAGTCAATTTGTATTGAATTAAATTTTGGTCAATTTAATTGGTCACTCAATTGGTAACTGATTTTTTAAACGAGTACAAATAATAATTTAACACAAATTAATAAATGACAATTTCCAAACTAAAATTAAATTAAACTTTATCTACAATTTACCAAAGTTTTTCGGTGAAAGTTCATGAGCTTTGATACATTGTTTCATTTTTTGAGTTCTATAAACTTAACTATGTAATTGTTTAGCCAAATATTGATGTTATTTAATGTAGTTTTTGGTTAGTTGAAAGTTAATAGTCGATAGAACTTTTTGTTGGTCAAATCGATTGGATTGGTCAACTTTTCTAATAAATGAGGTATTATTTTCATTTAAAAGGGTGAAATTATCATTAACAGTTTGAAGAAGAAGAAGATTAAGTGTGCAAATAGATTAAAAGAGAAAGTGGAAAAGTATTTAATAGAAATGAGATGAAGACTAAAGGTTGATTTTGCTTGTTGGAGGTTTAGCTTTTGTGATAATAACTTCAGGTGAGATTGTGAGGTGAGTTGAAGGAAATGAAGTTGTAAACCTTTTGGGATGAGTTGAAAAGATGAAGGGAATAGAACATAAGAAAACATTTATAAAGATCGTATATAACTAAAAAAGTATAAAGAAAATAAAGGTTAGATTGGTAAGGTGAAGCAAATGATGAAGATAAGGTGGAGGAAGAGGGAGTGGAAGAGGTGGAAGAATAGATTCAAACAGTAAATCAAGCAATCGATAGTTGAGCTTCATCTATTATTATAGCAATTGCTGGGTAAAGGGAAAGTACAGTCTTCTCGAGAAGAGATGTCGAGACAGAAAGAAAGACATGAAAGATGATGACGATAAGTAAGCTAACAGCATAACAAGTAACTTCAAATGAAGTAAATAGTAAGCCTGATGATTATGATGATGTGGGTTGGAGGTGAAGGTATAGCAGCAAAAGTTTCATGACAAAAGTTTTGAGGGAGAGAAAAAAAATCAACAGAAAAGTTTTAATGTCAAGGAAAAAAAGTGATCATTGATCTCGAACATGAAATTTCACCTTAAGGCTAATGCAAAACTTGAAATGATTAATCAGTTATCATTAATGCAAAAGTTAATCTTTAGCCTAAATGATATATTGAAATTTGCGATGATCATTAAGTTTCAACGTTCCAACGAAGCCTCCAAGCTATTTCGCAAATGATAAGTCCACTATTTTTTTCACTATTCTAATATAAAACTACTATTTTTAATAGATTGATATTTGTATTTGAATTCGAATTCGAAAGTGAAACTTTCCAAATACCTTATTAATACCTTTTTATCATCACATTGACGATTTCAGATTAAATTGTAAATGTGAAGATAAATTATATACTTGAATTACATTGGCATAAGTAAACACGCTCGAAACTATTTACACCTCTTAACGATTCGTTCAATGGTTCAATAGTTTTGGTAAATTCTGAATCTCATTTCAAGCCGATTTTGAGGATCAAAAAGAAAACTCATTATTCTTAGATACATTTAATTGTTTTGCTGTTTTCAATATTCAATGACTGATAATTATTTAGATGTAGACTTAGACACTTATGGTGAATTTTGATAAAAATAAATTTTCTCTTCTTCATCGATGAATTTATTTCGACTCGATGACTTGATTAAGTATTCAAAAAAGTTTATCGACTTGACCATCATTAGTTGGATGGTTTTTATATAACATTTTGAACAATTGATAATCAATTTTCTTTCCTTGGAAATAGTTTTAGGTCATTAAAGGTCAATCAAGTGATTCTAATGGGAGAATGTATGTAATACACCTTATTCAATGATCGCTTTCCAATCATCATCATCATGTTATTTCTCTCTATCTCTCTTTCTTCTCATTTCATCTTCTACCCAATTTTTCTCCCTTATCTTCCTCTTTCTTATCTTACTTTTTCATTCTTTTTTCTACTGATTATTAGGTTGACCAATGTTTAACCCACAAACAATCTCAGAATTGGATATAAGAGAATGTTTATTTCTATCATCGTTGTTATCTTCTCACACCTTTACCCAGCCCAATCCCTCACAACATCCAAATGAATGGAATCTAAGATTCTCTTGTAGACTTTATTAGTTGAGATAATTGTTTCCATCCCAGTGAACATAAGCATTTACTGATCCATTGATGATATTCCAGAACTTTGGATGAAAGGAAAAAAATAAAACCTCAATTCTTGGTTGTATGTAGTTAATAAAAAGGTCACTAATATCTTTCTGTCTCTTTTTTAACTTGCTCTCATTTAGATTACGATGACAATTTAACTTTTACATTTTCTTTAACAACAAAAGTGTTACAACACTTAACTGTTACTTGATTATGTGATAATCGTATCACAGTTAAATGGTTAAGAGTTGAATGGGACATAAATTACAAGTTGCCAATAAAAAATTTAGATCCAAAAAGTTACAATACAATTTTAATGAATACGATTTACTGGGTTCAAGTGACAATTAATTATCATCACAACGACACATAAACACTAGAAAATGAGTTAATGATGGTGATGATAATGATTTAGATAATAATTTGATATCTTAATATTAGCATCGTCATGATAATTGTGCTATTTTTATCATGCTAGACTTGATAACGTTCATTAGATATTAATATTTTATCATCATTATAATGAAGGATATTATCCATTGTCATGATTTAGTTTCATGAATTATGATGAACTTTTTTTTGATATCTTATCAACATAATAATCATCGGAAAGATGATATTCATTTTGATTGTATCAGTGAAGATGTTTATAGTCTATGTAGACATTTTTACTCTGAATTAAGGTGACCCATGATGAAAACGTTACAAATGCTTAGCATTCATGTTATCATTATAAATCTGTTTCTATTCTGGAATTTAAATATTGAAATTTTGTTAGTATTATATGAGTTTGATAGATGAATTGAAAGAGTTTACATTTCGTTACCAAATCAATACTGAACAAGAAAATGTCAAATAATAAGAAAGAATTGAATAAGAAAGCTGAGTAAACGTAAATGTGTCAACTCGTTGACAACAATCATTCATTTCACTTGACTTACCCTGCAGGCAGCTGAAATGTATACAGAAAACAGAAAGAATGAATGAAATATCATGAAACTATCTGAATACAATATAACATTTCACTTGGAAATAAAGACAAGGTTGAAAATCCATGGAAATGAGACACCGAAACGAAGCGAAGAAAGAAAGAAAAGAAAGAGAAATAATCTGATACTTTGCTTTTTTCCAAGAAAGAAACAAAAATTCAGTGTACCATTCACTTATTATGATAATATCATGTCATTGATATGACTCTTGATGGTTCAATGATAACCATAAACAGAAATTGAGAAAGAAATGAAGAATGAGTATTAATCATAATAATCTTACATGGTAAATGTTTCCTTATATTACTCAGATTGGTATTAAAAGTCAGTCAAAGTTTATGTTTGTTTGATGTTTCCTAGAATCGTACACTTTGAACTGTTCAACTAGCACTACTTGACGTAAGATGATTTATCCTGATTGTCTATTTGTTTTTCTTTCGGGTTTTCTCTGCATGAAATTCATTGTTTGACATAAGGGTGATAACAATGATTAAAGCTACAGAAAAATAAATAAATTCTTACCTGGATTTGTGATTTTATTCTGTATCATGTTATGAGTTGAAATCTTTAGACTAACTTGTGAACTTTTTCCAGCTCTATTACTTGAGTAGATAATGGCAGTTGTACTTTCATTTGATGGTAACTCGGAAATGGCAATCTTAAAATGAGGTTGATCATAATTCATCATAACAATTGGCGAAGACGATGTTGTTCTTGTTGGTGATGGTGATGATGATGATGATGGCAATGACTTTAAGGGTAAATTATTCTTGTCGTAAACTTCAAGAAAATAAGTCTCCTTCCACGGTGGAGTTGATTTACTTGACTTTGAACACTCAATCAAGTAACTGTTATCCGATGAGTTTTCAAGGATTTGACAGTTTTCCGGTGGATGAGGTAAGGCTATAATGTCAATTGTTAAAGGACAAAGGTAAAAATTTGAGATGATGAATAAAATACCATTAGAAAGATTGAGCAAGAAATTGATACTAATATTATATGGGTATAGAAATTGGGACTAATACTTTCATGGGAGATGCTTAAGGCAAGCCACTGATGAATAAAGTAACAGAGTAACTTTTGAAATAGAAGCAGCAAAAAACTAAACCTGATGAATAGTGAATATCAAAAATATCATTTCTTTCATTCTGCTTCATTTTGTGATAATAGTTTCATTAGAACTCTGAATGAACTTCTGAAAGCTTGAATATATATTCCCAGCAGGATTGGAATTCAGTTATAATTTTGTCATGTTACATTTAATAATAATCATTATGATTACATTTATTTTTGTTGAGATAATAGATTTGATTCTGTTAATGAACACAAATGGTAACATGATTTGTTATCACCAGTGTGAAGTGAGAAGAGAGAGAGAAAGGTTACAATGAGAGGGTGAATGTCACTCAAAGGTGGAGAAAAGTAGAGAAAATCCTTGTTATATTTACATGGAGAATGTTTTGTTTCCAATGATCAAGAATTAGAATAAAATTACTATGACAAAAAATCACGACAATTGCACAATAGAAAACAATGAGGAGCAATTTAAAAACTAACGACAATGATTAACTAATTAGAGGGATAAAAAAATGACAATGGTAAAAACATTTCAATAATTACTCAGCATAAATCATAGCTAAAAACAATAAGAAAATTGTGAATTTCGATCAAATCATTTGTGCATAAATTTGATTGATTAAGCAATTAAAACACAGCGTATCACTCGTGAGTTTAATATCTTCATCGGTACTTACTATCTTTGAAAGGGGTATGTCAACCCTAAAATCGACCTCCGTCAAACACAAAATTAACAATTGTTTTAGCTAGAGCATTCAATAGAACCTCTAACCGTTTTTAAAAGTGTAACCAAACTGGTTACAAAACCAGTTCCCTTTGTTCAACCAGGTACCACCTCTCACGTGGTACCTGGTTCATCTTATTGGTTAAATTTTTGGTAGTGATGATGAAGATGAAGGAGAAGAATTTCTCCTTCACTACCAATATAATGGCCAACAATCGGCCATTTTTCTTATGGAGACTCGGGGTATAGTTACCCAATAGTAAAATTAATAAAAGTTATTATTAAATGAAGTGAAAACGCTCCATCTTTGGCACCCGGATCTTTCTCAGTGAATTTTATATAATAAAAGTGTTTCTTTTAACTAATTAAAGTAAATTAATAGTGCAAATTTTACTAATCTTAGGTAGCAGTGAATTGGTTTAGGCCAATAAAAGTGACCTAATTATAACAAATTTTACCTAATAATCTTAGGTAGCAGTGAATTGTTTAGGCCAAGTGACCTAATTGTAACAAATTTTACCTAATAATCTTAGGTAGCAGTGAATTGGTTTAGGCCAATAAAAGTGACCTAATTATAACAAATTTTACCTAATAATCTTAGGTAGCAGTGAATTGGTTTAGGCCAATAAAAGTGACTCAATTGTTAACAAATTTTACCTAATAATTTTAGGTATCCAAAAATTGATCTTCATTAATAAAAGAATCAAATGATTAAAGACCTTTACCTTATATCTTAAGTATTGAATTACAACTAATAAAGGCTATCTCAAGGCATAAGTGTCCTGTTCTGGTAAAAATTTTTTTTTACACTCAACAAAATAACTTCACCTAATAATAATTAGGTATTAAGAATATCATCTTTAGAACAATTCCATTATTAATAAATAAAACAAAATTAAAACATCTATTTTAACTGATTTGTGAAACAAATACTCCTAACTCTTTTGGTGGTCGAAATTATTTTCTGGTATCAGGAGAATTCGAGTTTATATAATCATTGGAATCCTTAAGGAAATAAGATAAGTAAAGTTTTATAATAATAATAACCTCTGGTTCATTTAATTAATAATTTTACTGAGAATGACCATAGTCAACAGTTTAAAAGGGCGATATATAGATATTATTCATTTAATTTTAAGAATTCAATGAAATTCTATCATAAAATAATAATAAGGACAATGAAAAGAATAAAATTATTGAATCAACAATAATTATCTTCAACAATAGAATAAAAAGATTAAAATCATTGAATCAAAACAACAATTACCTTCAACAACTGAATGAAAAGAATTAAATCATTGAATCAAAACAATAATTATCTTCAACAACTGAATGAAAAGAATTAAATCATTGAATCAGAACAATAATTATCTTCACGAATAGAATAAAAAGATTAAAATCATTGAATCAAAACAACAATTACCTTCAACAACTGAATGAAAAGAATTAAATCATTGAATCAAAACAATAATTATCTTCAACAACTGAATGAAAGGAATTTTATCATTGAATCAAAACAATAATTATCTTCAACAATAGAATAAAAAGATTAAAATCATTGAATCAAAACAACAATTACCTTCAACAACTGAATGAAAAGAATTAAATCATTGAATCAAAACAACAATTACCTTAAACAATAGAATGAACAATTAAATTACCTTCAACAATTAATAGAATGAACAATTGAATTACCTCAACAATTAATAGAATGAACAATTAAATTACCTTCAATAAACAATAGAATGAACAATTGAAACCAACCAACCATAATTAAAGCTAATCATTGAATTTTCATGAATTAAAATTGGACTTAACAATTGAAACCAACCAACCATAATTAAAGGTAATCATTGAACTTTCGCAAATAGTAATTGTACTTAACAATTGAAACCAACCAAACATCATTAAAGGTAATCATTGAACTTTCATGAATAGTAATTGTACTTAACAATTGAAACCAACCAACCAGAATTAAATTTAATCACTGAACTTTCATGAATCATAATTGTATTTAACAACTTGAACCTTACTGAAAGAAACTCGGTTTTCTATTTCCTCTCTTTCTTCTCTCTCTTTAAATTTTACCTCTCTCTCTTCCAATCTCAAGTCTCTTTCTTCTCTCTCTTTAAATTTTAACTCTCTCTTTCAATTTTAAGTCTCTTTCTTCTCTCTCTTTAAATTTTAACTCTCTCTCTTTCAATTTTAAGTCTCTTTCTTCTCTCTCTTTAAAGTTTAACTCTCTCTCTCTTTCAATCTTAAGTCTCTTTCTTCTCTCTCTTTAAAGTTTAACTCTCTCTCTTTCAATCTTAAGTTTCTTTCTTCTCTCTCTTTCAATCTTAAGTCTCTCTCTTCATTTTTTTCTATGTTAAGTCATCATGTCCTTTAATTAATCCTAATTATGTGTAAAACATTCTGTTTATTTTTCTGTTTATTTATTATCTTTGGTGATATGAACAATAATGACCATTATTTTAATATAGAGGAACAAGAAGATACAATTAATATTCGGAATTCAGTTTAGAGGATCTACAATCAAAATATTACAATTATTAAGTTTTCTCTCTCCATTTATTATATTACTAATTTGGTTTATCTTTAAATTACAACAATTATATATTGAAACTCATTTCTCACCTTAACTATGGATGATCAACCTCTATTAACTACCCCGGTGCTGGGGATTGGTAGAGAAAAGAAAAATAAATTAAATTCAACGGTAAATCAACAATTACATATTCCTAATTTCTCCGGTGATGGGGATGAGGATTTACTAGATTGGCTTGATCATTTTGAATCAGCTGCAGTTGCTCTTGATTGGGATGAAGAGATTAAACTAAAAGCTTTACCTGCTTATTTAACTGGTACCGCTAGTAGGTGGTACCGATGCAGAATCAAACCTTTAACTGGTGATAATATTCCTAGAACTTTTGAAGATTTGAAAGTCAAATTGGTTTCAGATTTAGCTCCTTCAGGTTACCGAAAAATTTAATTAAAGAGTTAAATAATAAACAACGTTCAGATCAATCAGCTATTTCTTACTCTTACGAGGTTCGAGATTTATGTGAAGAATCAACCCAGACATGCAAGAAGAATTAGTAAATAGCTTCATCGACAGAGGTCTAAAATCAAACATTCGAACTAGATTAGATTTACTGACAGCTGATTCCCTCTGACTTTATTACTAAAGTGACATTAGCTGAACGATCAACATTATCAAAAATGATGATTTAACTGAATCCGAAGAGAATGAACAGTTAAAAATACAATAACAGCATTATCGCAACATTTACAACAAATTACCGAAAGATTAGATTGTTTAACTTTCCAACAAGATATGAAAAAGCGAGAGAGACAACTATCGTAATCGAAATGACTATGGAAATAGTAATTATCGAAATGATAACTATCGAACTGAAAATTATCAAATACAAATAATTATCGTGGTAATTATCGAAATAATTATAGAATGAATAACTATCGACAAAATAATCAATCAAAAAATAATCAATCAATCATATGTTACGGTTGCAATGAGCCTGGACATAAAAATGAATGTCCCCGAAGAGTGGACAGACCTCGAGATGATCAAAAAGTATCGGATGGGCTACTCAAGGTCCATCAACATCTAAAGATGATAATTGGAGAACCCAAAATCAATCACAAGATAATAAAAAACCTTGGTTTTAAACAGAAATTTAAGTAGATCACCTCCTCGTTCGATGCGTCCACCTCGACCAGACGGATATCAGAATTACCCTCAATCAACTACACCACGAAATCGATCTTTAAGTCCTCGACCTAGAGGACGACCACGACAAACTCTCCTCACCCCAAGGTAGAGGAGACCAAGATCAAGATCAAGATCACCATCAAGTGACAAAAGAACTAAAGTAGTTAAAACAGTTTATACTGAATATGGTGATGATGATGAAACAAAATTTCCAGTTCAATCATTTCAAACTTATTCAAAGAAAAAATCAATTAATATTTACGAAAGCAAAATTAAGGAAAGGAAGTAGAATGTTTGGTCGATACTGGGGCTGAAGTCTCATTACTTTCTAAACACTTAGCTCAAAGTTGTCACTAGATTATCACAACT